GCCGCATTTTGGGGAGGGCGCCTTCCCCGATCCATGTATTTGGCGACCGCACGCCAACTCTATGGATCGCTGATCAATGTTTGCGCGCCCCCGACATCAGGCAGACTTCACTCGTCAGACTGTAGCCCTCCTCCTTCCTCTGACCAAAAAAAACGTTTCCCCGACTCGGTTCCTAGTTGCAGCGGATGATGGCATCAAGCAGTGCGGAAAAGGGAAGGCGAAATCCGCGAGTGAATCGAGTAGCTAAGCTGGTTTCTGAGCACCCCCCTCTCCTTCCCCTCCAGGTTGGGCCCATCTCTGTCTCTGTCCCCTTCCTCCCTCTCCCTCCCTCCCCCCCCTCCCTCCCTCCCTCCCTCGTTTTGCGCCTTGAGCGGTGTGCAGGTGGCGTGGCAGCAGTAACTCCAGTTCGGTGCTTCGGATATGTCGTGCGCGCGTGGGAGGACAGACAATGCAGAAAGTCTGGTCAGGTGATTTGAGTCCTCAAAACACTGCGCATCTGAAGGACTCACTTCCTTGCGTCGGCGCGCGTTGAAGCTAAAAGGAAGGTGAGGGGATGGGGAGGAAGGGGAAGGAGGGAGAGGAGGAATAGGCGGAGGAGGAGGTCGAGCTTGTTCAGCAAGTTTCGTCCAAGATGGCCACACGCAGCGGATTCCCCTGGACCTATCCTTGGGCGCGCTACGACCAATAGGAATCCTGCCGTGGCGACGCGCGCTCTCCGAGAGGCACCGAAACATGGCCAGGTCAAGGAACGTCCGAAACGTCAGACTCCCTCGAGGGGCGCGCTCCTCGACGTGTGCGTGCTCTTCAAGGCCTTGGGCATGCCAACCGTTCACGGTAATTAGGTTCGTGAGGCGTTGGTTCGTCGGCGACGCTGGCGAAGGCGTTTAAGGTCGAATTCTGCGACGCGGAAGCACCGATGGACACGGCAATGCCGTTGGACCCGACGGAATTCGCTTTTGCACGATCGGGGGGGCGATCGATTCGAGGCTGAACGATCGACGCGGTGTCAAAACAACCCTTGCGCGCGCCGACGCCGCATGAACCTACCGCACCAGCACGGGCCCCGGCCAGAGCCCATCCTGGGCCCCCAGGAGGGGTTCAGACGCCTCCCTGGGCCAAGCCTTAAGTTGGGCGTGTCCCTCTACAGGAGGAATGTTCAAACATAGTCACAAAGTAGTCTGGGGACGATTTGTGGGGCATTTTCGGCTTATGTCTTTTGTTTTGAATTGTTGGGTTTTTTCTTCCGCCCCAAATCCGCCTGTAGGGGGACATGCCCGACCTGGGCCAAGCCTAGTGGGCGTCCACCCAGACAGCCCGATGCCTCGATTTGTCCTTTCGACCTCCTGGGAAGGCCCGGCCCTTGAGATGCCATGACTTTTCTTTTGGCTTCCTGCGATGCCACGACTTTTCCTTTTGGCTTCTTTTTGGCTTCTTGGGCCGGCTCTTGGCTTCCTTTTGGCTTCCTTTTGGCAACCTTTCAGCTAGAGTCGTCTCTTGGCGGTCCCAAGGCCGAGAGTCTCTGGGCCTCCTACCATGGGGTCGGAGCAGATGGGGTTGGAGGGTCGCTCCGCATATCGCCGATGCATCAACGATGCGGCTCGATGTGGAGCCCGTGTTTCCCCATGCCGGCGTCGCGGATGCATCGCCGATGCATCGGCGATGCCATGGCGATGCGGCGCGGTCCTTCGGCCCCATCCACTCGAACCCCATCTGGGAGGCCTCTAGAGAGACGGCCCCCAGAGCCCGAGCACGGCGGGCGGCAAGCCGTCTGGAGTTTTTTGCTTCCCGATGGCGCTGGGTGTCTGGCCCCCAGAGCCCGAGCACGGCGAGCGGCAAGCCGTCGGGACTGGTCTGCTTCCCGGAGGCGCTGGGTGTCTGGGCTGGGCCAGCCCTGGAGGCCAGGATGGGCCCCGCCCGGGCCGGCGTCGGGGCGCGTGCCCCGACATCCGCCGGCAGCACCACTTCCCCGAGAGCATCCCCAGACATGATCGCGTGGTATCTGTTTGTTTATTTATACATGTATATACATACATATATATGTACACATATACATATGCATATATACATATATATATATATACACATATATATACACATATACATACACACATACATACATACATACATACATACATACATACATACATACATACATACATACATACATACATACATACATACATACATACATACATACATACATACATACATATATATACATACTGATTTAAGTTTTTTGGCCGTTTTCGGCCCCTGAGGGCCCTCGCCGGGCCTCGGACCGTCAAAAAACGGCTCAGGATGGAAAAGCGGTCCCGGGGACAGGGATCGGGACTTCCAGGGACGCCGTCCCGAAAAAATCAGGACGTCGTCTGGGTCTCTTCCGTCTCGGAATCTCGGGGGCGCCCAAGAGGGGGGTGATGACTAACCGCATGCCGATGATAATAAAGGGACCCCCCCCTTCAGTGTTTAGAGTTGATTATCGTCGCCCTATACAAATTCAAATTGGGCGGCGAGCGCTGAGGCCGAACTTCATTATCACCTCGAAACGCTATGTTGAGATAGCAACCTCTTCTTCTCTTCTTCTTCTTCTTCTCTTCTTCTTCTCTTATTATTATTCTTCTACTTTCCACTTCTTAATTTATATTTCTATCTGTCCTCACGCTCGCCTGAACTTTTTTATCCCTGGGGTTGATTATCCATGGAAAATGAAGCACATGAGCTACCCTACACGAGCACTTAAAACAACAATTTTCATAAAGCGCTTGTAAATTAAAATTGATAGATTTGGAACTTTGGATTTTTCCTTTCTTCGTCCTCTTCTTATTCTCCTCTTCTTCTTTCTTAGTATTATTATTCTACTGTATTCTTCTTCTTTTATATTTCTCTCTGTCCCCACGCTCGCCTGAACTTTTTTTTATCTCTGGGGTTGATTATCCATGGAAATTGAGGCACATGAGCTACCCTACCCTACACGAGCACATGAGCTACCCTACACGTGCTCGGCTTGGTCTCCTCTTGATCATCTCTTACTTCGAGATTATGCTGAGGTCTGCTGGGCTACTTTTACTATCTCTCCCTGAACCCCGAACTTGATTATCCCCTAGTGTTTATTCTCACGGGCATGAGGTTAGGGGGGGGATCTCATGTCGCGGGCCATGATATTTCTCCAGATTTCATGGCGCCTCGTCTTATTTCATTGCGTTCCTGCCCCCCCCCCCTGGGCCGCGCACGTGCCGCCGGCCATGATTTGTGCCCCCCCCTCTTGGACGCCCCCCTCCTGGCCGCTCTCCCGAGAATCGCTCCTGAGGGTCCCGGGCCCCGAGAGGTCCCGAGAGCGGCCCTGGATAACCGAGTTGGAGGAAAACCTCGCCCGGAGCGGACGGCACCGTGTCGGCGGAGGTCTGGGGATCGGTCACGTTTCACGTTTCACCCATCCCCATCCCCGTCCCCTTCCCCTTCGAGACCTCCGCCACATCACCACCCCAGTCGGGGATGCACCCCTCGAGACCCGAAGGGAACGACCTATATCCCCATCTGGGGGGGGGCGGGGGGGGAAATCGGCAAGTGGGGCCCAGGACACGCCGCTGGGGATGGGGATCGGTTATAAGCGATACTCAGGGAGAGGCGGCGCCCCCCCGAAGGCCTCGGGCCCGAGCTTCGCAGACTCCTACCGCGTGGCCGAGGCGCTGCTGCGGCGCCCTCCCGACGCGGGCGGGGCGGGCTCCGCCGAGGGCCCGCCCACGCCCGCCCTGCTGCGCTTCGAGGAGGACGGGCGGCCACGGGGGCCGGCCGGCGGCGCCACCACGGCGGGTGCGGACGGCGGCGGCGGCGGGGTGGGTCACGAGGGGGGTGGGCGGGCGAGGAGCACACCGGGAGAGGGGAGCGGGGGGGGGGAGGTGCGGGAAGGGAGGAGAGAGTGAGTGGAGGAGGGGGAGGGGGAGGGGGAGAAGTGGGGGGAGGCGAAGGAGGGAACGCGGGGAGGAGGAGGAGGAGGAGGAGGAGGAGGAGGAGGAGGAGTAGGAGGAGGACCAGTGTAAACCCAAGGGTCATCAACGATGTTGGAATCAACCCTCTCTCCAAACTCCCTCTTCATAGTCCCCTACAACGGTTAACTTTCACTGGGGGAGTTGCCTTGTTGGAAGACAGCCGTCTGAAGACCCTGAAGCATACCAAAAACATTGTCATCGGGATTCCAATGCCACGGATTTACTTGACTGTTGCGTCTTCGCGATCCTGAGTCGTGCCAGGACGTCATTCCTGGGTTTTCAACACCGCGAATCAACATAACTTCTGCGTCCTCATAATCCTGAACCCCTCCAAAGCATCATTTCTGGCACGTTGATGGTGACAATCCGCGAAACTCTTGCAAACGTTTAAAACGAATGAGCGCGGCGCTGAGGCGAGAGCCACATTCTGAAAACGAACTGCCTCAATCCGTGAAACTCTTGCACATTTGTAGAACGAATGTTCGCGGCGCTAGGGCGAGAGCCACATTGTGAAAACCACCCGCCCCCAATCCGTGAAATTCTTGCAACATCTTAAATGAATGTCCGCGGCAAGGCGAGAGCCACATTGTGATAACCACTCTCCCTCAATGTGTGAAACCGTTGTCGATTTTTAAGCTTCAGGGTCAGAAATGGTGAGGAAATCTCTGGCGAAACGCCGGGGCCGCCCTGAAAACTGGTGCTGGCGTGCGACAGGGAGAAGTTAGTTTTAAGGAAAAGGAATGGAGGAGGAGGAGGAGGAGGAGGAGGAGGAGGAGGAGGAGGAGGAGGACAAGGAAGAGGTGGAAAGGGGGGGTGAGGAGGAGGGGGTCTCTGCGGAAGGCTTCAGAGCACCCTAACAACATGGTAAGCAGCATATGTCCAGCAAGTCCTCCCAGCCGCTGACATTGCGGCAGTTTCCGGCGCGTGCGCGCGATTGGCTCGACTCGCCAGAGGCCTGTCATTCGTGCCATCTCCGGGGCCCGCTGTGCAGGCAATCGTCATGCAGGACAATCTGTGTGTGCGGGGGGGAGGGAAGGAGGACGAGGACCAGGAGCAATAGGTCGGCCACGCGCACGGAAGGAAGAGGCGGGGGGGAGAAGGCTTCTCAGAAGGAGGCCGCTTCTTGGAAGGCGCGGCCTCGTCTATCAAAATCAGGCCAGCGCGTTCTCAGAAGCTGCCTCCTGCTAAGCCTTCCCCCTCCCCCTACCCCCCTGTGCGCGCCGCCAAATACAGTCAACCCGCATAGTAAGGACGAGCGACTTTCCGAGGTTCCCCTGCACCTTTCCCCTTCGGCCCATCCTTGGCCACTTTCACTGACCGCGCCCCGCTTGCACAGTGTCGACATGGCCTTCCAAGGCCCCTGCATATTTACCGCGCGTCCTTACTACATGGGCTGACTGTATGTCCTTCTGCATCGTGATTTGTTTCACAACGTGGACCCCCAAGAGGTGCCCACCCTTTCCCCAGTACCAAACTCGGCGGGAAGCTTTCGCCACATTTTTCCATTTCCGCTAGGACTCCTTCAGTGCAAGCATGATTCGGGAATGTTGGGCCACAGCCACTGCTCAGCAGGTAGTCTTGGCAATGTCACTTCGCTTCGCGGTCGATCCTATCCTGTCCTATCCCCTCCCCCTGCCCCTCGTCCCTCGCCCCCTTCCCCCAACCCTCGTTCTTCACCCGCCTCGTTGCCCCCCTTTGTTTCCCCCCACCTCCCCTTCCCCACCGCCTGCTCCTGAAGGGCTCGCTCCGCAAGCCGGGAGCGTCGGCGAGGGCAGGGCTCGAGCTAAACGGTGTTTTGGCAATTTCGTGGACCGCTTTCGTTTCGACTTCGTCTTGCAGCAGGTGTGGCACGAAGACAGAACTGGGGATGACGAAGACAAAGCGAAAACGGAAAACACTGTTGAACTCGAGCCCTGGGCGAGGGTGTCCGCGGTCAGGCCTGGCCCGCTGGCTCGCAGCCAGCATGCTCTCGGCAGGGCCGGGGTCGGTTGCCTGCCGTGCCGTTGCTGCGCCGCGGCCTTTTGGCCGCTCGCGGCGCGCCGGCTCGGGTCTCGCGGCCTGTTTTGGGTCGGCTCTCGGCCTGCCGCTGCCGCCGTGGGCGCCTGTCGCAAGCGGCTCTGGCGGACCCGGCCTGTATTGATCGGGGGCGTGGACCAGTACAGTTCGGGGGCGGAAAATAGGGGGGTGATGACTAGGGGGGGTGGATATCATGGCGTGGGCCATGATATTTCCCCAGATTTCATGGCGCCTCTTCTTATTTCAATACTTCCCCGGCCCCCCCGCTGGGCCGCGCACATGCCGCCGGTCATGATTTGCACACCCCCCGTCTTGGACACCCCCCTCTTGGCCGCTCCCGAACAGTAATGTCTTTCTCCCCAGGCATCCTTTTTGTTTTCCTCGACGGCGGCGGGTACTGGCACGCCTCGGCGAGCCGTTGAGCCGATGCCAAACGCTCGGCTGAGGGCCAGCGCAGGGGCCGTTGAGAGGGCGGCAGCCAAGCGAACGCGTCGGAGGAATGTTCAACGAATTCTGGTTTGAAGTTTTTTGGGTGTACTAATCTTCTGTGCTTTCCATTGGGTTTCTGGGGGGTGCACCGAAAGTGGCTTCAAGCCACTTTTGGAGCACCCGTGTGTTTTTTGTTCGATTGAACTCGAGTGCACCAAAGTTCAGCGTCGCCAGGCAGCTTCGCTTGGCGGGGCGCCAGGCGACTCCTCGGCTCGCCTGGGGGTGCGCCCCTGTGGGTTGTTACCCCCGTGTTCCCATGCTTGGCGTTTGCTCATGCGGGGCCTTGTTGTCGGCCGCCAGAGATTGACTTCTGTCAGCCATATATTGGTTACCGTACCCTTGCAAGCCCTCAGTAGAGACATCCCAGATAAGATCGGAGGGTCGCGCCACATTGCCGATGCATCACCGATGCATCGGCGACGCGCCGGCGATGCATCGGCGACGTCAGCGATGCATCGGTGACATCTGCGGCACAAATCGGACGGGGCTAGGACGATATTAAATCTGTTGCAGAGCGTTCCAGAACGCTCTCAGAGCGTTGCGGGACGTTCTGAGAAGGCATCGGCGCCCGAAACATCATCCTGCGCCGCCAGATCTCAAAGATTCCCAAATGTTCACCCGATGTTATCCTCGCCCTGGCTGCGCCTTAGCAGAGAGAACATCGGGCTCCACATCAACCCAGATCGCCGACGCATCGGCGGTACGGCGCGATCTTCCGACCGTCACTTGTTCCTGCCGCCAGGCTTTCCGAATATCATATATCTAGGGCCTCCAGCGGCCGCTCGGAACGCTCTGGGCACCCCGTGCAGCGCTCTCGGCGAGGCGCAGCTGCCGCAAAGCACCCGAAGGCGGGGAAGCCGCCGAACGCCCACGAAAACGGCAGGGCAACCTCGGACCTCGACGCTCCTGGCGAGGCGTAGCTGCTGATGGGCCGAATTTCCACCACCGCTATCATAGGTAGGAGAGGGGCGAGGAGGAGGAGGAGGAGGAGGAAGAGGAGGAGGAGGAGGAGGAGGAGAACCTCCCCATCCTCCCTTCTCCCCCGCCCTACTTATGGCGATGGTGGTGGACATCTGACCCATCAGCTGCTCCGAGACCGCACCCTGGTTGGCCGAGAGCCTGCGGGCCCCGTCGGAGCCCCCCAGCATGCACGGCGCGCCCGCCGCGCGCACCTTCACGCGCAGGAGGAGGAGGAGGAGGAGGAGGAGGAGGAGGAGGAGGAGGAGGAGGAGGAGGAGGAGGCTGAGGAGGAGGAGGAGGAGGAGGAGGAGGAGGAGGAGGAGGAGGAGGGGGGGGAGGGGGAGGGGAGGAGGAGGACTGCCTCCCCATCCTTCTCCGCCTTCACGCGGAGGAGCGCGAGGCGCCCGGGCGCAGCCTCGGCGCGCTGCTGGACGCCGAGGTGGCGCGGGCGCAGGAGCCGCCGCCGCCCGTGCGCCCTGCGCTGCTCGGCGGCGCTCGACCTTCGAGGGCTGGCGCGTGCTCGCCTGCCTTCGCGGTCGGGGCTCCAGGGAGGGGTGGTTGGCTTATTTTCCACCACCACCACCACAAATAGGAGGGGGAGGGGGTCCCCCTCCTCCTCCTCCTCCTCCTCCTCCTCCTCCTCCTCCTCCTCCTCCTCCTCCTCGTCCTCCTTCCCCCCTCCAACTTATGGTGGTTGTGGTGGTGGGAAAAAAGGCCCATCAGAGGGGGGTCGATGCAAACGGGGGTCCGCCAGAGCGCCGGATCTTGCAGGATCCTGCAGGGCCAGGGTCACATTGGCCTGGGCTTGGTTGCAGGGTCCTGCAGGATCTTGCAGGATCCTTCGCGTTGACCCGTGTTGGGGTGCGGGATCTTGCAGGAACTTGCGGGATTCTGCGAGGCCTGCGAGAAGGCTCGGCTTTAGCCAAGCACGCCTTGGCGCCGCAGGCTGACTACGGTAAGTTTCTCTGTCATCTGTCATTTCCTCCTTCTTCGTCATCTGCCTTCTCCGTCATCTGTCATTTCCTCGTTCCTCTCGGACGTGCTCCGCCAGCCAGCGTGACAGCGTGTGCTCGTTGTTTCAAGGCAGTGCCGTCGAGACCTGCTTGCATTCTGTATCAAGACAGCTTTCCCGAGCACCAATTCAAAGTCTGACTACGGTAGGTTCGTGTCTTGTCGACCGGCGGCGACCCCGCAGGCGGCGTTCAATTTTGAGCGCCGCGGGCGACCCAGAATTGTTCGATGTGGAACGATGTGGACGTGTCGGAAGCGGCCGATCGGTCAAGGCTGAACGATCCCCGCAGGGTCAGACACCAACGCCGAAGTCGGCAAGCACCAGAACCTGCCGTACGTCCTGGCCCCAAGGCGTCAACGTCCCGAGCTTCTTCCCGCCTCCCGCCCCGCGGCGCGGAACGACTCGCCGTCCGCTCGCAGGGCACAGCTCGTCGCCGGGGCTGCCGCCGGGGCACGCTGAGCGACAGCGCCTGGCCGCACATCTCCTATAAACCATCTCTTACGCCCTGCAGGGATGGGGCAGACGGCCTTCGGAATCAGACCATGGGGAGCAGAGTCGGACCGAAACGTCGAGGGCGCGGCCTGGCGCGTCTCCTCCGCGGCCCCTCGGCGCCGACTGCCCCCGCGACACGCCCGAGCAGAAGCTCCCCGCCGCAGTGTTCGCACAGATGGTGCCCTCAGGCTTCGGCGCCCGCCGGCCGTTTCCCCCTCCTGAGACTCTGGCAAGGTCACCTGCGTGGAGGGGGGGAGGGATGGGGGGGGGCGTGGTGAGGCCCGACAGAGGACATAGACTTCACGCAAGCTGGGACTCAGTTGGGGGGCCCTTACGGCCGTGGGGAAAGGGTCGGGAACTTTGGGGGCACTCTGTTGAGATTACCCGAGACGTACCCAACCCTGCTGCATGCGAGGCAACGAACACCATGCACGCTCCATACAGAAAAGACACATTGCGAGATGTGCCGCGCTCCGAGATGATTCGCCAAACAGCGTCGGGCCCAGCGCTGTGTGAAAAGGCGGCGATGGCGAAGGGGGAAGATGTGGGGGATGCCATGCAAGTGACCCGGACATGCGACGTCCTGATTTTTTCAGGACGGCGTCCCTGGAAGTCCCGACCCTTTCCCCAGAACTTGTTTTTCGTCCTGGGTCGTTGTTTGACGGTCCCGAGGCCCGGCGAGGGCCCCCTGGGGCCGAAAATAACCAGAAACTTCCCATCCCGATTTTTTTTACGACGCGAGCATGTCTGGGGAACTTACCCCGGTCTAGAGAAGGACGGCCCCTCGTCTGCGGCGGCCCGCCAGCAGGAGCGCGGGGCCTGCGGCTTGCTCTTCCTCGTGGACGACGCGCTCTGGCACGGGGCGTTCGACGCGGGCGCGGCGCTGCGGCTGCTCGGATCGGAGGACCCTGGCGTGCACCGGAAGGGGGGCAGCTCCCCGGAAGTCAGTGGGGGAAAAGATTCCGATGCCGCTGCTCGTCCTGTAGAGCCCTCGTCGCCACGGCTGGATTATCCTCGAAATCCTTGTCAGAGCGCACCCATGGAGAGGTTCAGGGAGTGGTGGTATCGATACATGTTTGTCCCCTGGGAAGGGCCGAGGGCGCGCCAGCGTTGACGCCGTCGGCGCCGACAACGGCGGCGAGGAGGCTGCTCATGGTGCCGATGGCGGCGAGTAGGACGGCGATGATGGCGGCAACGGCGAGGACGAGGACGAGACCGACAAACACGACGACAAACACTTCGACGACGACGACGTCGACGATGACAATGATGATGATGATGATGATGATGATGATGATGATGATGATGATGATGAGGATGAGGATGAGGATGAGGATGAGGATGAGGATGAGGATGAGGATGAAGATGATGATGATGATGAGGATAGTTCAGGTGGCGGTGATGATGATGTTGATGGTGATCGAACTGATGATGATGACGATGTCGATGATGCTGATGATCATGATGATGATGCTGCTGATGATGAAGATGAGGATGATGGTGTTGCTGATGGTGATGATGCTGAGGATGCAGGTGTTGATGATAATGATGATGAATGTGGTGATGATGGTGATGACAATGACGAAGATGGTGGTGATGATGTTGCAGATGATGGTGTTGAAGAGGATCGTGCAGGTGACGGCGATGATGATGTTGATGGTGATCGAAATGATGATGATGATGATGACGATGTCGATGATGATGCTAATGATCATGATGATGATGATGATGATGGTGATGATGATGATGGTGATGATGATGACGATGCTTCTGATGATGAAAATGAGGATGGTGGTGTTGCTGATGGTGATGATGCTGAGGATGCAGAGTTTGATGATAATGATGATAATGATTGTGGTTAGTGTGATGATGACAATGATGACGATGGTGGTGATGCTGTTGCAGATGCTGATGATGCTGCTGATGATGATGGTGGGGAAGGTCGTGGTTGTGTCGGTGCTGAGGATGGTGATGGTGATACTAGTGATAATGATGATGTTGCTGCTGATGACGATGATGCTGCTTGATGAGTGATGATTCCGATGAGGATAAAGATGATTATGAGGCTGATGGTGATGATGATGATGATGCTGGCGACGACGACGACGATGATGATGATGATGATGACGATGATAATCATGATGTTGATGATGCTGATGATGGTACTGCTGAAGGTGATCATGATGATGCTGACGACAATGATGCTGGTGGTGATGCTGATGGTGATTGTGAGGATGATGATGATGTTGGTGTTGATGGTGTCAATGGTGATGCCGATGCTGATGGTGATGGTGATGGTGATGGTAATGGTGGTGATGATGATGCTGATGGTGGCGGTGGTGATGATTATGATGATGGTCATGGTGGTGGTGGTGATTGCGATGGTCGTGGCAGTGGTGATGGAGGTGATGGTTATTTAGAGGATTAGGGTGGCCGCGGCTCGCTTGAGTGCCGAGCAGGAGAAGGCGCCAGACGCTGAATCGAAGACGAATAAGAAAACGATTATAAACACGAGTCTGACGAGGAAGCGGCATATTGTCGCGGTGTCGTGCGGATTCCCTGCATCGGCGTCGGAGTAACGGCGAGGGGGGTGCAGAAAACGGAGGGGGGGGCAGGGGGAGAGGACAAGAGGGGGGGGATGAGGACGCAGGGAGGGCGGAGGGGAGGGTCGGAGAAGCGGGGAGGGCACAGGTGGGAGAACGGGGGATATGGGAGCAGTGGTGACACGGGGGCGGTGGAGGCACGGGCGGAGGGAGGTGTCGGAGAGGCAGGTGGGTTGCGTGCTCCCCTCTCCCCTCCTCCTCCTCCTCCTCCTCCTCTTCTTTCTCGACCTCCTCCTCCTCCTCCTCCTCCGCCTCCCTCCACTCCCGCCCCCACACCTCGTCTTCCTTCTACGTCTCTCTTCCTCCTCCTGCCGGTGGGTCGGCGTGAAAGGTGGGGCCGGTGGGATGGGGGGGGCAAGGGGAAGTGAGTAGGAATTGCGGGACTGGCCCCCCTCCTTTTCCTCCTCTCCTCTCCCCTCCTCGTCCCCCTCCTCCTCTTCCTTCTCGTCCTCCTCCTCCTCCTGCTCCTGCTCGTCCTCCTCCCTCCACTCCTCCACGTCTTCCTCCTCCGTCTCTCTTCCTCCTCCTGCTGCTGCTGCTCCTCCTCCTCTTCCTCCTCCTCCTCCTCTTCCTCCTCCCCCTCCTCCTCCTTCTCCTCCTCCTCCTCCTGACTCCTCCTCCTGACTCCTCCTCCTCTGCCCCTCCTCCTCCTATCCTCCTCTCATCCTCCCCATCCCCCTCATCTTTGTCATCATCGTCATCGTCGTCGTCGTCGGCATCGTCATCGTCATCATCATCATCATCATCATCATCATCATCATCATCATCATCATCATCATCATCATCATCATCATCATCATCATCATCATCAACACCATCACCATCACCATCATCAGCATCATCGTCATCGTCATCAGCATCAGCATCAGCATCAGCAGCATAATCGTCATTAGCAGCATCATCAGTATCATCATCAGCATCCTCATCACCACCACCAGCATCAGCATCAGCATCAGCATCCTCAGCATCATCATGATCATCACCATCAGCATCATCAGCCTCATCATCATCCTCATTATCATCATCATCCTCATCATCCTCATCACCATCATCGTCAGCATCATCATCAGCATCAGCATCAGCATCGACATCATCAGCAGTATCAGCAGCAACATGACAACGGTTACCATCATTAGCAGTAGCATCAGCATCATAAGCACCATCATGATCAGCAACGCCATCACCAGCATCCGCATATCAGCAGCAGCATCATCATCACCACCATCATCAGCAGCCTCACCATCACCGCATCAATACCAGATGCATCATCAGCATCACCACCACTTCCATCTTCATCATTTTCAGCATCATCATCATCTCAATCATCCTCATTAGCAGCATCGTCATCATCATCATCATCCTCATCATTATCACCACCAGCGTCAGCATCAGCATCATCATCATCAGCATCATCAGCAGAATCATCATCACCATCATCGTTATCACTACCAGCAGCATCATGATACTTAACTTCACCACCACTAGTATGATTAGCATCCTTATCATCCTCATCGTCATCATTCTCATCATCGTCACCGTCGTCGTCATCATCATGATCAACAATCATTATCACCACCAACCTCTTCGTCGTCGGCGTCGGCGTCGGCGTCGGCGTCGTCGGCGTCGGCGTCGACGTCGGCGGCGGCGGCGTCGTCGTCAGCCTCGTCGTCGTCGTCAACGCCATCGCCAATGTCAACGTCAACGTGAGTCATCATCATTATCATCATCATCAGCATCATCATCATAGTCAGCATCATCAGCATCAGCATCAGCATCATAATCATCATCAGTCCTAGCATCAGCACCAGCATCAGCATCAGCATCATCATCAGCATCAGCATCAACATCAGCATCAGCACCAGCATCAGCATCAGCATTATTCCCACCTCATCTTCGTCACCATCCTCCTCGTCCTCCTCCTCCTCCTCCTCCTCCTCCTCCTCCTCCTCCTCGTCCTCCTCCCCCTTCTCTTCCTCCTCCTCTTCCTGCTCCGCCTCCTCCGCCTGCTCCTCCCTTTCCCCCTCCCCCAGCCGGGGGAGCGGTTTGGGGGCCCTCTTGGAGCCTCCCTCCGTGCCGCCCCTCCTCTGCTTCCTGCCCTCGCCTCTGCAATTCAACAATATGAATACTACTCTTCTCTCTCCCCTGGTGGCGTCCGGGAAATGGCTGGCCCCCTCCGCGTGTGTGTTTTCTAGCTGAAGCGTTGGCCTCATTTTCGGGCTACCGCTCGTTCCGAATCGTGCTCCCGCTGCAGCGCTGGCCTCATTTCTGCGTTTCCGCTAGTTCCGAATCGTTCTCCCGCTGCAGCGTCGGCGTCATCATTTCCAACGCCATGCCATTGCGTGGTTTTCGGTCCTTCCACATACGCCCCAAAATATAGAACATCCCCCCCCGAAACAGCCATCGGACGTGATTACACATTCGGTGTCGATTCGTTGACTTTTTGGGCCGCAGAAGCCCCCCCCCCCACTTTGGGGCGTCGCCACGCCATGCTATGTCAGGCTGTGCGTCCTCATTTCCGCGCTGCCGCGCTAGGGTTTTTGTTCAAAATGCTGTTCTCGCTGAAGCGCTGGCCTCATTTTCGGGCTACCGCTCGTTCCGAATGATGCTCCCGCTGCAGCGCTGGCCTCATTTCCGCACGTCCGCTCATTCCGAAGCGTGCTCCCGCTGCAGCGCTGGCGTCACCATGTCCAGCGCCATGCCACGGCGTAGTTTTCGGTCCTTCCAAATCGGCCCCAAAATCTAGAAAATGGTCCCCCGAATAGGCCATCGGAAGTGATTACACCTTCGGTGCCGATTCGCTGTTTTTTGGGGCCGCAGAAACCCCCTAGTTTGGGCGTCGCCACGCCATGCTATGTCATGCTACGCGTTGATCTTCAACACCATGCTATGCATGTAATGTTATGCCATACTACGACAGCCGATTGTGCGAATCGAGAGGAGATCTACGCCATGGTAAGGGATGAGAGGGACGGGTAGGACGTCAGGTACGACGCGAGCGCACCTGGCTTGCCATCGCCCCCTCCCCCCCCTCCCTGGCGCGGGCGGAGGATGGCGTCTACACGGTGCACGCGAAGCTGAACCCGAGGGTGGGGGCGCGCGGCGCTCTCGCGGAGTGCTTGCGGGGCGGGGGAGAGGGTCTGTGCGCAAGGGCGGCTTCGGGAGCCTGTGCGGGAGAGTCCGGGAGGTCCCTTCGGACTCGGTCTCCCCCGCCCAGATCGTTGGATACAGATTTTATTTCGGTCGCGATCGGTAGCGGCCGATCGGCACTCCAGATCGGTCGCGGCCGGTCGCGACTCGGTCGCGTCCGGTCGCCACCGATCGGTCGCGACCGATCGTCGCGACCGATTTTGAAGCAAATCGGTCGCGACCGATACCGAAACTCGAAGCAGAATCGGTAGCGACCGCTCTCGTCGGTCGCGACTGGAAAGTTCCAACACCCAATGGTCAGGGCAAGGCCGCGAGGGCGGAGCAGGATCGGGGCTCCAAAAAACGGGGGGCAGTGCAGACGGGGGGGGTCGGCCAGAGCGCTGGATCCTGCAGGCTCCTGCAGGGCCAGGGGCGCACTGGCCCGGGCTTGGGTGCAGCATCCTGCAGGATCCTGCAGGATTGTGCTGGATCTTGCAGAGCCTGACTGACCCGGGTCTGGATGGACCCGAGTCAGCAGATGCCCGACGGGAGGAGGAGCGGGGTGGGGGAAGGGGAGCGGCAGGGGGACGTTAAGAGGGGGGGCGACGAATACCTCCCCAGCCCCTCGCCTCCCCTCGCTCATCCTCGGCTCCGGGCTCCCCTCCCTTCGGGTTCCTGGCCCTACCTCTCCCTCTTCTGTGTCTGTGCTTCCCCTCGCCTTCCCTTCCCTTCCCTGGCCTACTCCTTAGTTCCGCCCCCCCCTCCTCAAGGAGGAGGAGAAGGAGGAGAAGGAGGAGAAGGAGGAGAAGGAGGTGGATGATGATGATGCTGATGTTGATGCTGATGCTGATGATGATGATGATGATGATGATGATGCTGATGCTGATGCTGATGCTGATGCTGATGCTGATGCTGATGCTGATGCTGATGATGATGATGGTGGTGGTGGTGGTGGTGATGCTGATGATGATGCTGATGATGATGATGATGATGATGGTGGTGGTGGTGATGATGATGATGGTGGTGGTGGTGGTGGTGGTGGTGATGATGATGATGATGATGATGGTGGTGGTGGTGATGCTGATGATGTTGATGATGATGCTGCTGATGATGCTGATGATGATGATGGTGGTGGTGGTGATGATGATGATGTTGTGGAGGAGGAGGAGGAGGAGGAGGAGGAGGAGGAGGAGGAGGAGGAGGAGATCTCCCCGGACACCCCCTCCCGAATCCTCTCCCCATCCCCCCTCCCTTCGCGACAGCGGGGGTCCTAGAATGCGATGGCACCTCTCGCCACAGGTCTCCAGGGGGCGCCTGCCGTACTGCCCCCGCGAGATGATGGAGGCCCCTGGGGCCCCCTTGGCCTGGAGGCCCCTGGACGCCACCGAAACTTCGATCCGAGCCAAGGTCGAGCACCTCCGTCCCCTCTGAGGGCCGGGCAGCGCCACCAACACTCCGATCCTCAGACGGAGCCGAGCCGAGCTGATCCGTCCCCCCGGAGGGCCGCAGAGCGCCACTCAACCTTCGATCCTCGATCCTCGATCCGAGCCGAGGTTCTCCACCCCATCCCGCGCAACGCCTGCAGGCGGAAGGCCTTGGCCGCCTGGCTGCACCGCACCAGGCCCTGGCGCCAGGCGCGCGTCCTGGGCCCAGGATCGGTGTGCGCGCGCGCCCCCTGTCTGCTCGTGGCCGGGTCTGGGATCGGTGTGTGCTCGTGCGCCCTGTCTACTCGTGGCCCAGCCAGTCGGCGACGACGACGACGACGCTGACGACGACCACGACGACGACAACGACGGCGACCACGACGGCGACGTCATGATGCTCATCGTTACGATAATCACGCTGATGATGTTGAGGGTGCTGGTGCTGGTGCTAGTGCGTGTGCTGCTACTGCTGTCACTGGCGCTGATGCGGATGTTGGTGTTTGTTTTGTGGGCGATGAAGTGCCGATCATAGCGATGATGACTGCGAGTGGTGAGGATGCCGATGATAGTACTGAGGCTGTTGCGCATGAGCCGAAAGTGAGGCAATGCTTGTGATGGTGATAAGGGAACGGTGGTGAACAATACGTTTGTGATGGTCCGGTTGGTGATGATGATGATGATGATGCTGACGATGATGATAATGGTGATGATGGTGATGATTATGATGATGTTGCTGATGATGATGATGATGATGATGATGATGATGATGATTCTGATGATGATGATGTGATGATGTTGCTGGCGATGCTGCTCATGATGTTGGCAACGATGAGTGTGAACGGCGACGATACTGATGATGCTGATGATGAGGATGCTGACGATGTTGATGATTAGTATGCTGTGGTTGGTGATGGTGACGACGATGACGATGTTGATGCTACCGGGGGTGTTGATGATGATGAGGGATGATGTTGATGCTGATGACACTGATGATGATACTGCTGTTGATTATGATAGTGATGGGAATGGGATGGTGATGCTGCTGCTGATGATGCTGATGATGATGACAGTCATGATTACATATGTCGCTAGTGATTGGGTTGCTGCTGCTGGTGGCTGTGGTGATGGTGATGATGAGGATGGTGAGAATGATGATGATGCTGATGCCCATGATGATGATGTCCATGAAACTGGTGATGATGATGACGATGGCGATGATGCTGATGGCGATGATACTGATGCTGCTAATGATGATGATGATGATGCTGGTGATGATGATGATGCTGATGATGATGATGATGCTGATGATGATGATGATGATGATGATGGTGGCGTTTGTGGTGGTGTTCTTGGTGGTGATGATGGTGGTGATGATGATGGTGATGGTGTTTGTGGTGGTGTTCTTGGTGGTGTTGATGATGATAGTGATGATGAGGAGGAGGAGGAGGAGAAGGAGGAGGAGGACCCCAAGCTGTACGGCCACGACCACTCGCGCCAGTCAGCCCGCGGCCTGCGGCCGGTGCGCGGCCCCGTGGGCGCGCTGAGCTCCGCCAGGTGGAGTACGCGCACCCCAACAACAAGTTCATGCGGGTGCCGCGGCTCAGCGCCTACGGCCCCGCCGCGGCCAGCTCGGAGGACGGCGGCGCAGGCCCCGCGCTCTTTCTCCCTCGCCTGCTCCAGTCCCCGGGCGAAGAGAAGAGGGAGGGCACTCACGGCAGCCCCAGCGGCGAAGCGCATCCCTTCGCCTCCGTTTCTGCAGGGAGCCTCTGGGGAAGCGTATTCCCAAACACATGAACAGGCTGGCGTGGTGGGGCCGCCATTGGCCGATCAGGCGGGTCCTGCCGAAAGGGGTCACGCAACGTGTCGCAGCGCCACCGGGGCTCAGCCAGAACGGGGCTCAGCTAGGCCAGGTCATGGCCGAGCTGGGTTTGGGGCATCCGCTCGCGGCCCTGAACGTGGCCTTGCGCATCTGCCGAGCCATCTTTGGGAAGCCCCGCAAAGAGCTGGAGCAGCTCTTTGAAAATTGGCCGAGCCAGGCTTGCGCTGAGGTGGGTCCATCCACGCACTCTGTGGGCGGGAAGAGGAAGTGTAGCGGCCTGGCCTCGCTGGTGATCCTCCGAGCACGCGTCCGCCCAAGATGTGCTTGCCCCGTTCAGCTGCACCTCTGTCGGGCGCAGCCTGCTCCGACCCCGCAGTTCATACGGTCGCCGCGTCTCGGCGCCCACGACCCCGCCGCGACACGCTCAGAGCACAGCGGTGCAGGCCCCGAGGGGACGGGAGGAAGTGTCTCGGCCTGGCTGCGTCAGTGATCTTCGGGACACATGCGGCATTCCAGAAAGGGCCTCGTCTTCGAGGGATCGACGGGGTTTGCATCTCTTCCTCGGCGGAAGGCGGCAAAGGCGGAGGAAGCAACAGGAGGGCGGTGCGCCAGCGGCAGGCCGGCGCATGCCGGCGGAAGGAAAAGTTGCGTCCCTAGGAGATGGCAATTTGTTTATGATCCAGATGTTCCAGAACCCGCTCCGTGTCAGCCCAGTGTGTGTGTGTGTGTGTGTGTGTGTTTGCCCCGTTCAGCTCATCTGGTCGCGCGCAGCCTGTGCCGGCCCGCACCATGACGCTTGCGCCGAACTGAAGGGCTTCGGTGGAGAGGCTCATCGGCTCTGTCCTCCCTCTCTGGCTCTGCGGCCTCTCGGCTCGAGGCTGTTGCAGGAGGGGGAAGGGGATGTGCCATCTGCCTGATCGGCCGCTCCTTGCCCCCCCTCCCCTTGTCCGCCGGCTCCCACGCGAGGGCGGAGCGGCTGGATTGGAGGAGGGGGGGCAGGACCCACAACGGGACCTGGGGCCAGGAGGATCACAGAGGGTCGAGTGGCGAGGTTGTTGAGCGTTGTTTTGTGTTTGTTTCTGGGTCCTTGGGCGTTCGCGTCCCCACGGCTCATCGGCGTGGGCCTCGTCCTGAGGGAAGGGGAAGAATCGAGTACAGGACAGTTCCTACATCTGTACACATGTTGCGTGAATATGTTCATTAGCCAGCGGGGGCCCCTAAACAGTGTGTCTAGCAATATGTGTTGTGCAATCTGTGTGGAGCTGATTACCAACGTTGTGCACTACATATATACATATATATAAATATACAGGGGTATATGAGTAGATATGTGTGTGTGTGTGTCGAGCAACGTCTGTTTTGCCATCTATGGTGTGCAGCCTCTGCTGTGCAGTAAAAGTAGTGCGATCTATGATGTGCAATATTGCTTGTGCAATGCATGTGGATCAGTCTATATGGTTCAATCGATGTGGTGCAATTAATTTCTGTTCGCAGTGAGTTGTCAGTTCAATTTCTCGCGCAACCATCATCCCGCCAGCCCACCCGCAACTTGGTTTGCAAAACCAATGCGACGTCGATTGCGATTGGTCCTTTGCTTTCGCTGCTGCATCTCCTCGCCCGCGCTAACCCGCGCATGCTCGCACGCGAAACGGCCAGCTAGTTTGGCGCGACCGACGCGGCCGCGTTGGCGCTGACCGCTGAGCACTTTCCAGCGGGCACTTCAGTGCGAGTCGGCGACTTCGGCGGGCGCGGTTTCGAGTAAACGCCGACAACAGTAGACAACGCATGACACAGACGACGGCAAGGCCAATATCGGCGCCGATGCTGATCACGCCGGGGACGATGACGGCGTCGTCGTGTCGGTGATGCACAAGTTTTGAAAGGAGTTCTACATATGCACGCGGCCGACTCGCCAGACTGGCCCGCATGGCAGTATTTGATCAGGATCGTGCCCCCCCCAGCACGCGCGCAAGGGTTCCCGAACGATCTCGACGTGCGGCGCGAAAGGCACGATTTGCATATTGCTTGAAAGCAAAGAAGAAACATAGTTTTCTGAAGCGTCCGCGGGGGCGCGATCGTAGGCATGTTTGAAAGCTGATGGTGCAAGTCACGTGTGTTTTACATCGGGGCGCTTGGTTTTGGAATCCCCACGGAACCTCCAGCTTGTGTTGGATTTCCGCATGCGCGCGCGACGATGTGCGTGTGCGCACATTTTCCAGTTATTGTCCGCGCAAGGTTTCGGCCCAAGGCTTTCTTCTAGTAGGCTTACCTTCGGAATCGGCATGAAGAGGGCGGGCGGAATTATTTGCTGTACATAGCAAGTTCAATCTTGTTTCCTGTTGAAGCAATGCGTTTCGCGCGTGCCCGATCGAGGAACAATGTGCGCCCTCCTTGGGATCCTCGATGAATAACTAGGTCCGCACACACACACAGAACTTGAACAGCCTGGGCGCCCAAGGATGGCCAGGTGGTTATCGGAGCCCAATCGCAGCATACTTTAGTAGGGAAACTGGCCTTGGGAACGCGGACGCAACGAAATTCACAAGGGATCGCGGCCTTGGTTGCGCGGGCGCAGCGTAGTTTTGTATGGGCTTTTGCATTGGGGGCGCGGAAGCAACGTAGTTTACGAGTGAACGTGGCCCAGGGAGAGCGGACGCAGCGTAATTTACGAGGGGTCGTGGCCCTGGGAGCGCGGACGCAGCGTAATTGACGATGGATCGTGGTCTTCGGAGCGGGACGCAGCGTACTTTACGAGGGTGGCCCTGGAGGGGCGGACACAACTTGTTGTGTTAGGGATCCTGCCTCTCGGGGCGCGGACGCAGCGTAATCGACGAGGGATCGGGGCCCTGGTGGCGCGGACGCAGCTTAATTTACAAGGGATCGTGGCCCTGAGAGCGCGAACCCAGCGTAATGTACGAAGGATCGTTGCCCTCGGAGCGCGAACCCGGTGCAATTTACGAGGGGCAGTGGCCATGGAGCGTGCGGGATCGTTGCCCCTGGGGGCGCGACTCCAGTGTAAGTGGTGAGGGACCGTGGCTTTGAGAGCGCGATTCCCGCGTAATGTACGAAGGGGTCGCGGCCCCCGTGTGATTTACCACGGGTCGCTGCCGTGGGGGCGCGGACGCAGCCGACCTTGCGAGCGATCGCGGCCCAGGGAGGGCGGGCGCAGCGCAAAGTGCGAGAGGTCGTAGCCTTGGGAGCTCGGACCCGTCGCGATGGCTTCGTTCACGGGTTCGCCGTGCGTCGCCCTTTTCTGATTCCGCTGTGTCTGGGGGCGGGGCAGGGCTGGGGGGGAGGCAGATCGCGCTTTTTGGTAGCAGGGCAAGTGGCTTGTCTGGGAGTGCGGCCCCGCCGTAATCCGTAATGCGTTTCTTTCTGGCTCCGTCGCGCGTGGCCCTGTCCTGGGTCCGCGGGGTCTGGGGAGCGACGGTCTGCGGGAGCGGGGGTGGTGAGGGGTCTGTCCTTGCCCCCCCCCCTCTTGTCCACCTTCGGCATACCGTCAGCATACCTTCGCTGATGTTGGGCACGCGTGCCTCAATCGCAGCTTCGGCGTATACCTTCGGCGTGCCTTCAACGAGTGTGTCCGACGTATCTCCAGAGTACATTCGGCATACCTTCGGCATATCTGCGTAATGTACCAGGGATTGAGCGCGAACCAAGCGTAATTGGCGATGGGGTCGTGTCGATGGGGCGCGGACGCAGCGTAACTTACAAGGGATCGTGGCCCAAGAGTAGCGGACGCAGCATCACTTACTAGTGACCGTGGCGTCGGGGGTGCGGGCCTGGCAGAATGTATGATGGATCGTAGCCCAAGGGACGCGGACGCAGCGTACTTTACCAGGGATCGCGTGGCCCTTGGCATCTCGACAAATAGCGGGGCCCAGAGATCCTAGAAGACTCCATGTGATCCGCGGCGCGTCCCATGGCGCGTCCCGTGCCACGTCCCGTGGCATCTTCCCTGACGCGTTCCCTGGCACTTCCCCTGGGGCGTCGCCTGGCACGTTCCCTGGCGCGTTCCGTGGCGCGTCTCGTGGCGAGTCCCCTTGGCACGTCGCGCGGCGGTTCCCCCTGGCACGTCCAACAGCACATCCACTGGCAAGTTCCGTAGCGCGTCCCTTTAGCACGTCCCGCGGTGCGTCCCCATGGCACGTCCTCTGGCACTTCCCCTGGCGCGTCCCTTGTGACGTTCCGCGGCGCGTCCCCCTGGTATGTCCCCCTGACATCGCCCAATTGCATATGCAAGTGAGGTCCTTAGAGACGGTTTCATGCCTCGCAGTTCTCAATCCTTTTCCGAGTTCGTGGGTCAATCATGTTTGCAACGGGCTCTTGCGACAGCACGCACGCAAGGGCGTTCGAGCCATTTGGATATGCGCGCGCGAGAGACGCGTCTGGTAGAATTCGATGAACATCTTGAGAAACGCTGATTCTCTTAAGGCGCGAGCGCATGCTTCTGCTGTTTTGCAGAACTCGCATTGCGAAACCATGTGAAATTATATGTTTTCGGGACGCTCTAGTTGGAATTCCTTACGTCACATAATGTGGTTGAAGGATTTCGGCATGCGCGAGCGACGACGCGCATGTGTGTACTTCGTCAAATATGTTGCCAGGTGTTTTTGGAAACTGATGTATTTTGATAAGCGAGTGCGCGCGCATCGTCTAATGCAGATGATCAGGAGGGATGAATTGTTTTGCTAGTATGATATGAGTTCAGATATCGGATGGGCGATGGGGCTAATCGTATGTAAATTGCTATACGCGAAGGTGTCCATTAAGTCTGAGGGGGAGGGGGGCAGACCGCATTATTGTTTCAAAACAGAGAACCTATGTTGTTCAGTATCTGGTATGCAGTCCATGCTGTGCACTCTGGGTGGTGCGATCTATGGGGCGCAATGTTTGTGAAGTAATCGATGTGGTGCAATACTTGTTGTGCAGTCTATGTTGTGCCATATACGTTGATGTTTCAAAGAATGCGAGCCAGTGCGCTGCAATGCGCAACAAGGGCAAGGCGACGGGCGGTTTCGAGGCAGCGACGGGGCGGCGACGGCCACGACATAGCCACCAGAGTGGCACACCCTTCCAGACGACGGGCGGCGACGAGGCGTCGACGGGGCAGCAACGGCGAACCAGCCCAGACGACAGGCAGCGACGAGGAGGCGACGGGTCGGCGACGAGGCGGTGACGGCGGCAACATAGCCGCCAGTGCGGCACACCGGCGGCGACGAGGCGGCGACGGGGCGGCAACATAACCGCTTGAGCGGCACACCGGCCCAACTCCTGAGAATAGAAGTCAGAAGCCCTGAATGCAAACACTGTTTGGGGAACAAGCACATTTTCACGCATCTATACATACAGGTCTCGGTATGTATATGTGTACACACACATATATCCAAATATGCACAATTATCATATCAGGTACATATATATATATATATGTT